GAGAGAATAATAATTAACTTTTTATAAATCGATCAATGTAATAATAGATTTTACAATTTCATAAAAAAATAATTATTACAATACAGAAACATAATATTTTTAATCACGATGAATATTATAGATATAATCTAACAAGAATAATGCTTGTGGTACACCGAGGTGTCCAACGGGGTGTCCAAAACGGACACTTGGCGCCTCGGTATTGGCCGAGGCGCCGGTGAGCCTCGGCGTGGCAAGCGCCTCGGCTAATGCCAAGACGGGACACCCCGTTGGATACCGCAATGTACCCATAGCATGATTGATATAACAATAATATTCAATAGTAAAATACAACTTAAGTTAGGAAATTATAAATTGTGTACCATGAGCCACCCTGGCTGTTGGTAAGAATAAAGTTTTGAATGAGTCTGTCTATTTTTTTTGGCCGGCTTCGATTGCACTACTATTTTTTTAACCTACTAAACCAATTATTTAATTCCTACTGCTTTGAAATAGTCCAATAGTTTGAGAACAAGACAACTCGATATATTTGTTATCTCGGCATATATATTCTTGTTCACAACAGTCGAGGAATAACTTCATATATGTTTTTTCTTAACACTAATAAATTCTGTCCAATTGAGCATACTATTTATATGATACCTAATACTACACGTTTATTTGTCCTGTCAGCATTTCAAGAAACTGTCCTTTTATTAATGTATGTAATGAGTTAGTTGCAATGTAGTTGTAACTCAATTTTCTGATCCTTCAAACTACAAGAAATGATGTATATTTAATTGTGGAACCACCATAGTGTGGTTGGTGATTAATTGGGTGTCCATACATTAAAAAAAATAATAATAAAATAAAAAAAAATGATTATAATCGGTTAGGTTCTCGGCTCTAACTTCAGAATCGAAGATAAAATTGTTTAATTCTCTCTCAATTCAATTATGTTTACTCTTTCAGGTATGCAACATATCCACCTGATTATGGTTATCCTCAGGTTAGCTTTTTTATAACTATTGATTTATAATTATAATTACTTTATTAGTTTACATGCTTATCCAACGAAGTGTCAAAAAATAATTTATGTAGTTCATATAAATTTTGGTTGGACAGACTATGTATAACCCTCATGTTCAGCAAGCACAATATTATAATCAGTTATATGGGAGTTCATCGTCGGCCATGGCCAATCCATATTACTACGGATATTCCATGCAACCAAGGGGGACGTTTTCTATACCCCAGGCGCAACGTATCCAAGGACCGTCTTATCTGTACTATCCCACGCAGATGGAGGGCTCCAGTCCCACCTATCCTCCGCCTCCTCCTCGTCTTCCTTTACTACAGTCAACAAGACGTCCTCTGTCATCTCCAACTGGTAATCATCCTTTACTTATTGAGTTATATCAATAGCAATATAATTTTAGATATGTCACAAGGTTGGGTTAAAAATTGGATCAAATCGGTTTGTTATATTCATAAGACGATATCAATGTTTTAAAACTTGATATAGTTGGCCTAATGGTAAGAGTTTGACCAAGGTCTTACCGATATCAAAATGCTAAGGTTCTAATACTCGAAGTGTTCTTAACATCATAACATGATATACGTCATTGGATCTTGACACGGTTCAACTTGAATTCACTGGTTAACCGAATTTCATCCCGATTCTTTTAAGATGCAGTTGCTTTAGTTTGCAACTAAATCGTTTTTTTGGGTCAGTTCTTGATCTTACTGGTGCGAGACGAGTCCGATCTCCAACTAGAATGGATGGTATGAGTGATACTGTTGGTGTAATTATTTAACCTTAGTTAATTACATAGATCTTTGTTACAAAGGACACATTAGATTTTGGGGGAGTTGATGGTATAAAAAAGGAACTGTATGACCATGTGATATGAGCTGTTATTTATATGGGGGTGACCCATTGATGGGTCAATAGAAAGTCATATGCCAGAGAGGCATCAGTGTATACTTACAAAAGTACTGGACACGTTCTGAAGTTTCTGTATGATGCAGTGCCTCTTTCTACTCAGGCCCACTCTCACCTTAAAGATTCTACGCTAGCGTTTTTATTTTTTATTTTTCTCCTAATTAAAGTAGGAAAAGAAGTTTTTAGAACTCTCATTTAGAAATCATTCTTTTAAATTTTTTCTTTCATACTCATTTTTATCCACTACAATATAATATTCATCACGTAAATCCAATTTTTTTTTTTAACCATACATTATCTAAAAATCCACTATTCAAAAACTTATTCTTTCCAAGAAATGCTTGTCAAACGAGGGTCAAATAGTGAATTTTTGAAAAATGTGATTAAAAAGTAAGAAAATTTTGAATTTACGTGCAAAATATTTTATTGTAAGAATGTATTGTTGAAAATAAATTTGAAAAAAATAGAATTTTAAAATAATGGTAGATAAACATAGGATAAAATTGATTATAGTTTTTTTAAAGAATCTCTTTTGGTAGATTATTGATGAGTACATTTCTAATTCCATTGATATTTTAAACACATTTTAGATGGATAAAAACTACCTCACTGTTCCATTTATATATGTTGATTTTTCTTATTTTCTTTTCTCAATTATATAGTCCAGTTTCTTTATTGAAAATATTTTATTTTGTTCATTTACTAATATACCCTTATTTTATTTGTCTAGTTATAACCAATTTTTCCGCATAATCTTGAAGTTATACAAATATAAATGAGGGTAAAATAGGAAAGTTTTTGGTAGAAGTTGCATTTTCAATAAAATTAAATAAGACTTCTTAGTACTCATGGAAAACAAAATCAGCCTATATAAATGGGACGAATGAAATAATATTATTTGCACTACCTATTGTATATATATTGTACATCTTCAATATTTAGTAGGGATGTTAAATGGAGCAAGTTGAGTATGAATCGGCTAACCTTAAGAAAGTTGTGCTCAACTCGCTTCATGAGTTTGCCTCTATTTTTTAGCTGAAAATCCCACTTTTTGGCTAAAATACAAGTTGCTCGTCAGCCTGAGGTGAGTAGGCTCCCGAACTAACTCATGCGAGTCGAAGGGTGGCTCACTCCAGTTTCTTAAAATTGGTAAATTGACTGGTTTTTGTCTTTAAAATTGCAAAAGGAATTGTCTTGTAAATAGGAACGTTTAGTATGTCGAACTGGACGAGACAACAAATTAACATTATATATATGTGTGTTCGATGTAGTAACAAAGATGTCCATAATGTGCCATGGGCCTAAACAAAGAAGGGGAAGTTCTTGTACAGAATTTATTTTCATGTTATTTTCTGGCAAAATGATGTTTGTAATCAATAAGTTAATGTCGTGTTTCGGTGCAGATTCACTGGCTCCTCCTCCCCCTCGTCAAGCCTCAACAGAAACAGAAGCAGGTCCTGCTACTTCAGGAAGTGCGACTTCTTAAGAAACTCACTGGAGTATAAATTCATGATCAAAACTGCTTATTTGTACAATTTTCATTTTTTTTTTCAAATTAATATTTGTTCTCCCCTCTCAATAATTATTTGCATCAAATTTTTTATTCAACCCGCTAACAATTTAAAAATGCAGCTATGGAAATATATGCATGGCCATTTTAAAAAAGTATTGTTGTTAGCACGAAATGTAGCTTGCAATTTCATTTATATTCTTTCTTCCTGAGGAAAAAAATCACCAAGTTTTGTGACTTTATCCGATTTTTTGTAGTTAAGTTACTTAGATTTTGAAGAAAAATATATGCTATATGTAGTACCCAATAACGATAGTAGGAAGGACAAATCGATAATATATTAACAGTTGACATTACAGATTTAAGTCAATTTTGATATATGTAGGCTATGTGCTCTATGGATAGAGTGATATATTGACAAGACGCTATGAAATTTTTTTTTAACACAGACAACCCACTTTTAGAGTTTGGAATAACTCGATAATGTTCTTGTTATTGTTCTTTGACGAGTGTTTAAAGCCTTTAATTATACGAGATTTGTCCCACACATATCCTTTTAATTATTGTACAAATGATCAATCATGATTTGATAGAAAAATTGGCTTAATTACTTAAGCACTATATTCCTTGTGACTCTTGCCTAATCTTTGGCTATCTATTACCTTCCTCTTAACGTTTAATTAATGCATGTTTGGCTAATTAAGCTGATACTTTATTGATAAGGCAATAAGTAATATGATTACACTGATGTTTCTATATACTCAAATGTAAAAATAAGTAGTTCTTTAAAATTAGTCTTAAATTCAGTGTTAATAAGTAGAACTAGTGGTCTAATGAACATCGAAATTTTGTGCAACAATATTAGTACCCAAAAAATAATAATAATAAATAAATAAAAATAAAAACTTTGAAATTAATTTAGCATACATGCCCAGAGATGTCCTAACTATGATGGGGCTCCCAGGAAGAAATTACGAAATATTTTTGTATAAGACATTTAACCCACTCATGTCAATTACTTCCAAGTATATGCATGTGTTTGGTTATGTTAAAATAAGTTATTTATAAGTTCATTTTTCTACTAAATTATAGTCAAACTTTAATTTCATTTACATATTCATAAGTACTACTCATTTGTTATCCACACAATTTGTTAAACTCAATATTATTCCTCCTAAAAAATTTCTAATAAATTTGTGTAACGGAGGCTATGTATACACTTCGTTATTCTTTTAATTTTCAAGCACCCTATGACGAAATTTTCTGTTATGCAACTAATTTTCTAGTATACTTTTATAAATGTGAATAAATATTTAAGTTAATATACTTGTAAATAATTTCACTATAATGTCATCGTTATATACATATTATTAGTATGAGTTCTTTCCATTTATAATTATTTGAAATTATATGAACTTGATTATTTTTGTAATTTATAGACGGTTTAGTCTATTTAGTGAGTCCTTTGACAAAGTATTTGATAAAAAAATTAATAGATTTTGATAGAAAAATATGAAATATATTGTTTAAGAGTTGATAAAATTATGATGTGTGCCGTTAAAATTAATTATGTAGAAGAATCGTGTGAGCAAAGAACTTCCACCATAACAACATGTATTATCCAGCCTCCTACGTAATATCTCAGTCTAGGAAGGCCAAATATGGATTGAAACCCTAATTTCAAACTCACTGCTATTGAGGGGCGGAGCTAGGATTTGATTTCAGTGCGGGCAACATTTTTCAACGCCGAACGTTGAGTTTTTGATCATGAATTTAATGATGATAAAAAAATAAAACAATATTACAATAATACTAAAAACAACATAATTTATATATTAAACTTGTTCATTGCGAGTTTTTATATTTTGATATCGTCGTACAATAACTTAATTATCCAACTTCAAAAATATATCTTTCTCTACATAAATAATTGTGCTATCATTCATCACAAATTCACAATTTCACAATTTCAATTCACAGTCCAATTCACAATTTTACATAATGAATTCGCAGTCCAATACGAATATACACTATCAATCCAGTGCAATTCACATTTCACAATGCAATTCACATTTCACAATGCAATTCACAATTTCACATTATCAATTCACCGTCCAATTCGCTATTTTACAATACAATTTATACTAGTTCCAAATCTTAAGCAACTTGAACTTACAATTTCACAGTCCACACTCCACTGGAAGCCCGGAAGCCTACTGTCCGTGCCTCTTTGAGCAATGGAAGTCCAAAGTGCTAATTTCATTTCATATGTTAAAGACAAAAATAAAAATTCAAAATAATAACAAATAAGGGAAAAAATTCAAAATCACTGGACACTGCCAGTTTGCTATACTGGTGAAAATTGAAATTGGGAGGAACTTCACCTTCTTTTGGCTTCTTCTTTCATTGGGCTGGTTGCCTCCAATTGCTGGAAGAATAGTCGGTTCTGGTGGCGGTTGGTGGTTTAAGGAGTGGCGACGGATCAACGACTAGAGTCGGAGACGGAGATTAGAGTGCCTAATCTAGGAGATGTCGGACTGGAAGTCTAGAATGGCTGGAAAGTGGCAGTGACTGGCGCCGACAGAGAGGAAGTGGCGACCGGTCTGGACGAGACGAACTCACGAGAGACACGAAGGTAAGGGTTTTGATTTCCGTTTTCAAATGAATGAAATATGAAGAGGAAAACGGGTTAATTGATTTTTGAGGGGAATGGGTTAGGGTCACTGGGTCAGTAAACGGGTCGTGGGCTATGGGCATTGGGCTTTTCTCTAGGCTTGAAAACAGAAACAGGCAAATAATAATAATAATAATAATAATAATAATAATAATAATAATAAATTCTAGGCCTATGGAGTTGGGCCCAAAAGTCCAGTGCGGACATCTGCCCACATTGGACCTAATGGGGCTCCGCCCAGTTCGCTATTTTATGTTGCAGAATTTGGCATTTAACAGGACCACACTAATTAAATACACTAATTAAGAAATTAATTAAATTTTTACTTTTTTAACCAAAACTAGGTGTCACCAACTAATCCCCCCATCCTACCCCACCCCTACTGTCCTTCAATGTCATTCATCTCTCGTATCAGGACGATCCTCTTTCACATTAGATCTTAGCCATGTCGTTGAACTCTTCAATAGATTCAAAGTGCTTTCTCGATATAGAGGTCATTATGAATCTAAGTTTATTAAGTTAGGTATATGTCTAGACTTGATTTTTGAGCCATCCTTCAATAACGATCAAAATGTGCCATGCAATGTTCATATCGAACATATATTTTTATCAGATTTTGCTACTTGTATATAAATATGTATATAATGGGTTACATAATATGAAAAAAGTTGATTTTTTTTTAAATTGGCAAATGGTAAAGTGCTATGTAACATTATATAATCCACTATATAAATTTTGACGTACATGTAGCGAGATCCATTTTTACCATAACTTGTATACAAACAACCCTTCAACAAAGGTTGCATTGTCTCTTTATAAGATACCTTGAATACGAAAGACAACTCCACTCAAAACATGGATGCTTCATGCTTTTCATTTATTCATTTTTCTTTCTTCTCTAGCTTCAGTAGTGCTGACAAGGAAATTAAGCCATTTGATTTCTTTAAGGGAAAAAAAATGAATTGGATCCCAAAAACCCTAATCCACAGCATCATGAAGAAAAAGAAGATGATGCCATTAATGTTGCCTTGCACATTGGCCCTTCAAACTGCACCAATGGCTTGTCGAATTCAAGTGATTATCAAGATAGTAAAGATGCAAATTTAGCTGCAAATACCCAGTATTGTATACCAACTCCGAAAAAAATCCTGGTTGGCTTCATTCTTTTTACTTGTCACATGTGTAAGAAGACCATCAATCACTATAACAATCTTTAGGTGCAACTATTTATTACATAAATCCTCACATGTTTTATTAACGATTAACATGTTTGGTACGAGAAATTGTATTGAAATCTGAATGTTATTTTGTTGTAGATGCACATGCGGGTTCATGGCTCGGAATATCGCGGAGGGCCTGAATTTATTAAGGGAACGAAACCTCGAGCCATGCACGGTATTCCTTGCTACGGCTGTGAAGAAAGGTGCAAGAACAACACAAATAGCCCAAGGGCAAAACCGCTCAAGGATTTTTGGAATCGACAAACACATTACAAGAGAAAACATGGGATTAAACAATTTGCATGTCGAAAATGTGGCAAGTGCTTAGCTGTTAAAGGTGATTGGCGAACACATGAGAAGAACTGTGGCATACACTGGCTTTCATTGTACCTTCCATAAATAATGCTATTTATCATTATAATGATGAAACATCGATAATATGATCGTCTATGTGGAAGGAAACCGATGATATTAAAATCAATGTTTTCACTGAATCTATCATTAGGGTTGCTGTGAATGGGTGAGTCAATACCACTAAAGAAAAAAGGAAATTTGAATCATGTTGCTAATCGAGTTTCGTTAGGAATATTTCAAGAACCAAAATCACTTATTAAACTTTGATTAATTTGTAAATAGAATCATTCACTTCTATGTATTCTTTGGAACCAAACCAATATCAACAATCTCAATTTAGTTTTGGTTAAAATTTGCCCTTTAAGTTGTATTTGTCTTCAAAATATTTCAGGCTTATCCATGTTCAGCCTATTGGATGTTATCAACTCAAGGCAGTAATCTTTGGGCCTGTGAGCAGTTGTAACCCTTCTGCAATGGGGGTATTCAGGACCCGTTTCCCAGTAATTAAATTTATCACCCTTTTACTCATCTACTCAAACCCATTAACAAAAAATTTAAGAATGATTACAAATTAAAATAAGTGAAATTTGTAGTGAAAATAATGAAAAAGGTATCTTAATGCATGAATTATTGTTATAAATGTGATAAGGAAAGTTTAAAATGGGGTCCCCCTAGAAACCACAAAAAACTTAATGCAGGAATATGTGATGAATGTAATTAGGAAGATTAAATTAGGACAACGTTGATTACAAACAAAAAATATAAGGATACAACATATTCTCACTTTCTATATTTATATGATATTTATGTAGATATTATATAGATTATATAATATTGATTTGATTTGATGTCTTGGACTGAGAGAGACAGAAATGAGGTTTACTGTTGTAAGAAATAGGAAATGTTCGGCAGAGTAAAAGATTGCAGAGAAATTTCAAAATGAATTCCATTGATCTTACCAATGCTTTACAACCTGTATTTCTTTACAATGC